GACATATGTCTACATAATTCAGCCTAGGAAAACATAATTATTATCTGTCCGCCACAGACTTAGGCTCCATCTCCAAGTAACAATATACACTTTTTTAATTTACAGAATTAAAAACATTTCTTCATATACATTCTGTCTTGTTTCTTTTGCATATTATTCTTTAAGCACAAATCCAAAGCCTGCTTGTACTATGGAATTAAATAGGACCAGTATAAATAAGCCCAATTTAAGGAGACCTTTGAGAGTGAAATATTATAGTTGGAAGCCAGCTTGCCAAGGTTGGAATTGTTGCTGTCATTTTGAGGAAAACTCTCCTTAGGTATATGCCGAATACTGTCAGCTGCTGTCCTCATAGCTGCCACTATTTTGGCAAGAATGAAAATGCATAGGGCTCATAGGATCGGATACATAGCCTGCGTCAGAAAAGAAGTTCAGCTGTTACTTGTTAGTTTTTCAGTACATCCCCCAATTTTTTATAACCAGCCTGAACCAGGCAGGTCTTTCAGATCCTGTGAACAGAGAATTTGGACAATGGTTACTGGTGAGTGGTTTGCAAAGCAAAAGAAACATTTAAAATGAAAACAGAGAGCAGAGGCCAAGCAAATATGAATAATGAATGTCTAATTTGGACCCAAGCTGGCCAGGTGGGATTTTGGGTTTGGAGTAAAGAAGGGTACACCTCATGTAGACGGCATGTCATGATGGCTGAAAGCACAGGCTTTCACATCAGGCGAATCTGGGTTTCAGCACAGATTCCACTACTTGCTGGCTCTGTGACTTTTGTCAACTTAACCTTTCTAAGCCTCAGTGTCTTCATCTGTAAATGGGAGAAATAATAGCACCGATTCATAAGGTTGGCAATGCACCTAAGACAATTAGCAGTGTCTGATACCCAGGGAACGCTAAACAAATGATGGCTACAAAAAAAAAAAAAAAAAAAAAAAAAAAAAAAAAAAAAAAAAAAAAAAAGGAAGGTGGAGATAGCAGTAAAGAAAAAGGAAAGAGCCTTCCTTTCTCAAAGCAGGTGGCTTTGTTTGTTTTCTTCTCCCTGGTAGCCCCAATTTTAAGTGTACATCAATTCTTATGCCTAAATACCAGTGGCATTTGATGCCATTTGATGCCCTTTGAAGCAGTAGTCCTGGATGTGTCCAGAGAATGAACCTAGTGGCTCAGGATCAGGCCACTGTTGAGAGAACCACAGGGCTATGTGAAGGAAGCAGTTTTCTTTCCACTCTGAAGCAAGAAAGCCATTCATCGCTTCTGTGAAAGTGAGACATTTGTCAATAGCTATTGCTGCTTTTGCTCCCTTTTGATAGCTGAGTTTTTATAACCAACCCAGTCATCTACATTTTCATTAAGGCATCTAGCAATATGCATTCGGATTGGCATATTTATTTTCATAAGAAAGGTCTCTGTCAAAATATCTTAGGTAGCACATAAACTCTCGAGAGGAAATGCCACTGATAGCGATACTCCTGTCAACTGGCCTCTCCCACTCACCTCTTTTAGGACTGGCTCTGGTCAGATGTGAGGAAGATTGTGATGGGGGAGGGTGAGATGAGGGGCAGCAGGATACATAAGAGGGAATCTTAATTCTGGGGAGACCAATACAAAATCTACCTCCTTCAGCAAACTATTTCCTGTATGCAGGCTAAAAACAAGACTTCATTTCAGGCAAAGATAGATGCTTTCATAAACTTACAATCCTTTTATGACCATAATCAGTCTTCTGACATACCACATGCAACTTACTGGCCTGTGATGTTCTAGTGCCTCTTGCCCCACAAGACTCCAGTGGAAATCTGATTGTGGACATATGTCCCACAAGGGTGGGTGGGCTCTCCCTCAGGGATGAGCAGTAAAATCAGTAAGGCATGGAGGCCAGCATTTATTATTGATGCCATGAGTGCCAGGATGTAAGAACAGATGTGTTGGATTGCGGAGCCACTCAGTTTAAGAGGAACTCAACTGAAATTTGACCATAGGCTTTAGGAGAAGACTGAACCAAGTCTGCATGTTTTGTTACTTTAAGGGTAAAGGTCTCAAGTACAGATAAAACAGCTATGCATTTCATTTTATCTCCATTTTCTAGCTCTGCTCTTTGGTGGCAAAGCAGGAAGAGAAGAAGCTCATAAAGTTGCTGTTATACCGCAATCGGTTTATGAAATAGAAAAAAGGGCAGTTAAAGGATACTTTCTTGTATGATGTGATGCTCCTAATGGGAGAGATAGGAGATTTCAAATGTATCTTCTTTGTTTATAGGCACTCTCAATCCATCCAAACATCCTCATTTTTTCTTCTGTCCCTGGGACAGATATGCATAGGAAAACCCAAATTTTGCATTATTACACCACATTTGTCTTACTTCTCCATCTTGGGGGAATCCTTCTTTAAGAAACAAATTAAAGAAATGCTCCATCTTGAAACTTCACCACAAAAGGAAAGACTTCTGGTCAAAGCATGCGTTTCAAAGGATGCCCTATATTTTGTGGTTGCGAATTTATATCTGTAAAGATTTGAAGAAACAATATTATATCTATTAAAAAATGTGATGATGTGACACATGGAGCGCATTTTCCTCTCAAAAGGATTTGTTACTGAACTGGCCAATTACATTGTAAAGCTGATGATAAAAAGTACTCATCTGCATTCTAGACACATATTGGAAGTCAGAAACACAAGGTTTCCCATTTTTTAATGTGCCCAAGTAGTTTGTCTGCATCTATTCAGAACATATTTTCTTTTCTTTGTTTCTTAAAAGGTTTCTAACGCCTTAGGTAATGATTCTCTGAAGATGAGGTGAATTGCTGAGGATCCCAAAGCCAACAGTCTCCCGGGTCTATTACCATCTATGTCAGAGACCCAGGCTCACATCATCCAATTTATTCTTCCCCAAACCCAGCTCTTATAATAAATCTGATCTCTTTAACTGACAGACACTATTTCAGTCCTCCATATAGTCAAAGGAATTTGCAATGAATAAATGGGCCCACTGTGCTAAACTTCCAATTAAACATAGTGCCTCTCAGGCTTAAAGGTTGGTAAAAGGACATCCCAGCCCTAACACATCGATGTGGCAGTTGATGATAAAGGCAATTGTCCATCCTCTGGCTTCCAAAGGTCTGAAAAAAACATTGTTAAACATTTCAAAGAGCTTTATTAATCCTTTGTGAAGCAGTCCTGTGTAAAATGGATCCCATCAATTATCCCCTCACCACCTCTCCAGCTGTTTGAAGGAATGGTTGGATTTGCATTTTACCCTTGAGTGCTTGGCTAAAGGAGAAGAGCTCTCCCAATATATTATGTAATTGTGAAAACTCATCTCTTGTTTTTCCTCTCCCTACCTACACACACTTAATGTGGGGCTTAGAAGCAATGGACTTAATAAGATGTTGACAAAGTATTTGGAGCATCATGAGAGGAAGAAGATTTTTTTTTTAAAAGACTTGTACTGTTTTCTATGTACACAAACACATACAGGCACTCACACGTAATTACACGTATACTTATATGCTCATACACACTCACACATGGAGTCACACACACATTATTAACCTTAAAGGTAAATGAGTTATGAAAGACATATAAAATCAAATTTTATACTTTTATATTTTTAAAGTATAAAATCAAATTTTACACTTTTATATTGTAACATCCATCATTGTGGATGTTACAATATGCAATGTTTTGTCTCTTTTTGTCAAATAGACATCACCTTCTCAGGGTTAGTTTTCTTAACAAACCTAAAAAATCTGTCTACTTACCATATTTGTCAATGGGTGAGTATTGAAGACTTCTTTTCATCTCCTCCAAAGAAAGACCTTGAGAGGAACATTGTCCAGTACTGGAAAATTAATAAAACACATAGTTTCACAGTGTGGTGATCTGATAATCACATTTTTATAAACACGGTATTTTTCCACTCAACAGAGATCCAAGAGAAATGGCAAAATGATACAAAACAGCTCTTATCTTACAAGTGACTAGATGGAGAAAAGTTCAGAATTATTTGATTTAAGTCATATCTAAGTGTGAGTCCTGGCTTTTATGCATAGTTACGGTTTCTAGTAGCGTAACCTTGGGTATGCCATCCTCACTGAGCCTCAGTTTATTTATCTGTAAACTAGGAAAGGAACACAAATAACTTCCAATTTGTGTTTGTTATCTTTACTAAAAAGAATTAAATAAGAACATTGTCTTAGTAATAATATAAATAAAACACATCCCAAGAACTATTATTATTATATTGTTATTTTTATAATGATAAGATATAGTGATAATATTCATTGCATGAGTCTTTTGTGTGTGTGTGTGTAAATATCTATCTATCTATATATATAGATATATATCACTTTACATATAATGTAATATCATTTCCTTATTTTATAGAGAACAAAACTGGCACTGGAACAATTGAGTAACTTGTCATGCAGGTTTGGTAATAGCTCATCCATGATCAAATCCAAGTCTTTTAGATTCCAAAGCCAATGTATTTATCTATCTACTATCAAATATGAATTTCTTCCTGATTCCTACTCTTCATTGATTCTCCTTTCTCAAGTTCCTCCTCCTCTTTTGCCGATTTGTTTAGTAAGGTCACTTCCTTGCCAGTTCATTTAGAGCCTGAATTTATCAAAACCCTCATCCTAACATCTAACTACATCTATCAGTTAATTATATATCTAAAATCTTTCTTGCATCCATTCATCCTTTGTCATTCTCAAAGCAACTACCCTTGTTCTCCCCAGACCTTCACCATGACCGTAGGAGAACTCTTAATTCTCCCAGCTCCCAAGCCAATTATTTCCATTTCAGTTACCAGTATGACATCGTTCAGTTACCTTGAGCCAAAATTCTTGTAGCTATCCTTGGTAACAGCTTCTTTCTCTCACATTTCTCACTCAACTCAAGTCCTTTTAGCTCTGCCTCCAAAATATAATCCTAATCTATCCATCTCTCTCCAGCCTCAAGGCCTAGACTAATCTTTTTCTTCTTTGGACTTTTGCAGTTTGCCACCTAATTGATCTTCCTGCTTTCACTTCTGTCTCTATATAGTTCAGTCTTCATAGGTTATCCAGGGTGATCTTTTCAAAATATAAAACAGATTACATCATTCACCTACTTAAAACCCTTCAATGCTTCACAGTTTATTTGGAATAAAATATAAACGCTCTACCTACAAGGTCCTGGTCCTGCCTACATATAAATGCTCTACCTACAAGGTCCTGGTCCTGCCTACTTCTCAAACTTCAACCCATACCCCTCTCTCACCTTTTGCTAAACACTTTTTGGCATTCTTTCTGTCTCTTCAACCCTCCAAGCTCTTTCCCAATTCATAACTTCTGCCTTTGTTAGCTCTACCTGGAATGCGGTTCTTAATGAATGCAATCCCTTTTGCTCAACACTTGCCCTGCCTTCATCTGTGACTGACTCCGCTGCCATTCAGGCCTCAGTTCAGTCCTGAATGGCAGAGGAGCCAGTCATAGATCCTGACCACCACTCTAAGTGACTAATCCTCTGCCCACGGCCACTGTCTATCACATCACATCGCATCGCATCGCATCGCATCGCATGCATCCCATCGCATCACATCGCATCGCATCGCATCGCATCGCATCGCATCGCATCACACCACATCACATCATCACATCAGTTTACTTCCATCTTTCAGAATCACAGAAAATTATCTTGCTCATTTTTCTGTTTACTTATACACCCTCCATATTCTTTCCACAATCAGGATAGGGACTTGTCTCTCTTGTTCCCTGCTATATTCTCAACACTCAGAACAGTTCCTGGTATATAAGAGAAGCTTAACAGAGTTTTTGGAGCATTTAACAGAATTAATAGATCCTTAAATGACATTTTCCCCACCAGTCACTCAGTACTCCCCCAAAAGGGTCTTATTATAAGAAAAACCTTACCACAGCACTCCCCTGCAATTCCCCAAGCTGATATACCCGGTCCTCTATAGCCCTACTCATGTCTCTCTGTATTGTATTCTACAATTTCTCAACACATTTTTTGCCCAAGTTCAAGGCAGACAAATAAACTGAATTTTCTAAACATTCCTCAATTTTCTCTTCTCTAATGACTGTGACTGAGCTGAATTGCTTGAATATACCTATTTATCCCTGACAGGAAGCAGTATAGTGCTATGGTTAAGAATGAGCATTCTAGTGCCAGTCTCCTTGGATTTGAATCCTGACACCATCACTTAATATCTTGGCAAGTTATTTAACTATTCTATGTCTCAGTGATGCAACCATAAAATGGGAATTATAACAAGACTTAATGTATAAAGTTAATTATGAGGACTAACAGAGTTAAGTTTAAAGCACTATGGACATTGCTGGAATTCAGTCAGCACTCAATAAATGTTACCTACTTTTATTATTCTTCAAGGTACAACTCAAAGTTGGCATCTTCCTTGAAGTCCTCTTGAAAATCCCGTCAGAATTAACCTCTTCCTCTTCCATGCCCTTCTTGAACTTGATAATCCTACCACAGTACTCATCAGAGTCTGCCTTAGTGTAGAATTATCTGTATTTGTATGCTAGTGAACCTCATTACACAGATAGCTCCTGGAGATCAGAGATTATGTCTGACATCTTTAGATTCCCCACAGGGGTTAGCCAGTACTTTGCAAATACTTAAACGAAAAGTATGTTAAATTAAATAAAATTAAATTATTACAAAATGTTCATTTAGAGACATCAGATTTTCCTGAAAGCTAACATAAGTTCATGCTGATTAATTCTTTCTACTTGCCTTAAAAATGAATGCATCTTTGGCCGCACTTCCTTAAGCTAAAGAGTAGAGATGCTGCTTTTTAGAAGAAAGCACTACTTAAAAAGAAGACAAAGTATTGGCTTTAATGTGACATGATGTGTTCTCACTCAACATTAAATGGCAACAGAATGTCACTCAAGACATTTTTCAAAACACTATTTCCCTTATTAATATATGTGACTTCTTTAGAACTCTACCTCCTTTTAAGAAATGTGCTAGGCACAGTAGTCTTGGCAACACAAGACAATAGGAAATAAATATTTTATCAGCAAAATGGCTATCTGGTTTCCTCTGAATAAAAGCTCATATCCAAGCTGCTCTGTTTGCTCGGTTGCTAAATGCAATCCATGTCAGCGAACATAACCTTTTTGCCCAAGAGATACCACATAGGCTGGCTCCAGATGCTGTTCTAGGATGACAGACAGATGGAAGCTATCCATGCCCAGGTGAAACAAAACAAGAAACCAGACCCTGATCAATGGAATTAGCTGTTTGAACCCATGTGCATCCAGACTTCAGCAAGGATTTCACAGACGCCCAGGGTTTAGGAGATATATCAGAACCTCTATTTCTGAAGTTGTGGTCAGTGAAAATAAGGAACTTACAGTGATGCCGCTGCCTCAGGAATTCAACAAAAGTAAATGCGAACTAATGACAGGTAAGGAAAGCACTCAATTTTGCAAGTATTTCAACATTGCTTGTCAACTAGGTAGTCTTCTTTATGCTAAAAAGATGATATAGATCATAGACAGCCATACATATGAGCTACTAGTTACTATATGGGTAATTTTGTGGGTGTGAAATGAAATTTTATTTTATTAAAAGAGAATGAGTCTTTGGGTTAGTTTTTGCATAGTATCATGTTATATTAATATATATTATTGTAGTGCTAATTCAAATTAGCTCCATGATATATACATAAATATAAATATTATCATCAGTTACTGTTTTTTTGTAAAGGTGCATGAAGCTATGAATAATTTATTAAGATGAAGAACAGAACCAAAACTTTTAAAATATATTTTTTACTAGTTAATTCATGCCTTAGGGGTATAGATGTCCTAGTGAACATCTGCCAATTAGATCAGTTCACACTCAAATCCACAATATGTAAACTGTATTTTTGAGTGTGCAAGCCATTTAGGCCATGGGTTTTCAGAACAAATTAGCCTGTTGGCAAATAGTCACATTGTCTGTGAATGAATTAATGCACCCTGGGCAAAGACAGGAACCAGGACATTTAAAACTGACAGGCCAGGCATGGTGGCTCATGCCTGTAATCCCACCACTTTGGGAGGCCGGGGCTGGTGGATCACCTGAGGTCAGCAGTTGGAGACCAGCCTGGCCAACATGGTAAAAGCCCTTCTCTACTAAAAATACCACGTGGTGGCAGGTGCCTGTAATCCAAGCTACTTGGGAGGCGGAGGCAGGAGAATTGCTTGACCCCAGGAGGCAGAGGTTGCAGTGAACCAAGGTCGTGCCACTGCACTCCAGCCTGAGTGATAGAGTGAGACTCCGTCTCAGAAAACAAAAACAAAAACAAAAACAAAAACAAACAAAAACAAAAAACAAAACAAAAAATAACTAGTGACAGAAGCATTAAGAAAAATGGGAAAAGTGCTAGAAGATACTATATGCAAAGATAGCCTCCAAACCAGGAGTAAGACAGAGCCTACAAACTAGACTACTGAGTTAATGTACATTATGGACAAAGCTTCAGAAAGGAATGACTTAAACAGAAGTTTTCTCAGTTCTTAGAAAATACTGATTATAGGGGCTACCATGGATATATTAAGAAAAGAAAATTATTCTAGATTCGCTGTATTTTTTTGAGCGGGTGAAGATAAATATAAAGGGGGAATTAACAGGCTGGAACATACAACTGGATTCTAGCAGAGCGTTGGACAGAATTACTCCTGACTGCTTCGTAAGCAAGAAGGGGAGGTCTGTGCCAGATGACAAGTGATTAGACTGAATTGTGACTGACTGAATATCCACAACTGACACAGTCTTCGAATAGTGAAGACATTTCATATAGATGACATTCCAACAGAGTTAAGTTGAGCCTTAGACACTGGGAATAATTAAAACAAAACACTGCATTTCCCAAGATTAGAACTGTCCAAAAAGGGGTCGAATTGTTCTAGTAGGGGGTCCTGTTCCATCCCTAGAAGTCTGTAAGCTAAGGACTGGAGTACCTCTTGGCTCCAGGTGTTGTAGAGGGATTCAGGCATCTACCTGGAGGTCTGACAAGTGATGTCCCAAATTCCTCCATTTCTTACATTCCGTGATTTTTTTTTTCATTGTTGTTGTTGTTGTTTGTTTTGAGACAGAGTCCCTTTCTGTCCAGCCCAGGCTGGAATGCCATGGCGTAATCTCAGCTCACTGCAATCTCCACCTCCCAGACTCAAACAATTCTTGTGCCTCACCACAAGAGTATCTGGGATTACAGCTGTGTGCCACCATGCCTCGCTAATTTTTTGTATTTTTAATAGAGACGGGGTTTTACCATGTTGGTCAGGCTAGTGTCAAACTCCTATTGATCCACCCACCTCCACCTCCCAGATTGCTGGGATTATAGGCATGAGCCAAGGCACCTGGTCACATTCTGTGATTCTTTAGAAGGCATTCGTGAATCACATAGACTTGAGAAGCTAGTTTGGGCATGTTGGATAAGCAGAGTGAGATTATACTGTCCCTATTTAGTCAGGACATGTGTATCTTCCTTATCTGAAGTGTCTGACATTTGGCCAGGGCTGAATGCCTGATTTTCAATCCTGGCTATACATTACCACTGCTACTCAGGGTGGTGTTAGTAGCTTTTGTCTATATACATTTCATTTGAAATGGTAACTGAAACCTGCTATTTGCCTGAAGGAACCATTGCATTTAGTGCTCGGTTTCAAAGGAAGAACTACATTGCCATTTGAGATGAAACAGAGGAAACTAGAGAAACCACTTTCACATCCTTAAGGATTTGAATGACAGGTTGTGTAAGGCTGGCACTAGAAAATCCAGAGCTGCCTAACAAGAATTCTTACATAAATTGGTAGAATATTCATATTGCTTACAGGATAGAGGATCTACTCCTAAAACTATGTAATTTAATCCAAAAAGATATATTGTTAAGCAAGTCCCAAGAAGAAATATAAAAAATAATGTCTGAAGAGACTGGGGAATTCTGGTGCCATCTTTCTAGTGTGGTGGGACCAGGCACAATGTGTCACAATAATCCAAATGGCCCCATTTAGAGCCCTGAAAGCAGACAGTGTTGTGGCTTCCAAACTACAGCCTGCCAAATGTTTTTGGTATTGGAGCAATGAATCATGGTTTGGCTGTGGGATTTCATGAATTCTCAGAATATTTGCTAGTGCCACAATTGCTTCTGACTGAATTACATTCCAAAGAAGACTTCAGATGAGTATGCAGTCCAAAAGAAATCATTTTTTTAAAATCACATTCTTTTGAGTGCAAAGCTTTTGCAAACTTGGGAACTTTGATTTGTTGAATTATAACAGATGTATATGATTTTACATGGCTTGAAAGAGTGAAATTAAAACAATTGAAAAACAATCAAATAAAAATAAAGAGACCCAGAACATTAAGTTCCTCTATGATATAATGATAATAATTTCTTATACTTGCAGAAGGCTATATAGCTTGCATACACTTTTCTCTCAATTAGCTTCTAACATTTTTACAAAACCCCTGTGAGGTGTCTGGGAAGGAATTAATTTCACCTGCTTCTTGGGGATGCAAAATCAGGCTCAGAAAGTTTGACTGACTTGCAGAA